CCTCATGAAGATGTTTGCTGCGACCCGACATCTCCTGACACGTTAAATTTAGTGCTCCTTTAATCCTTCTTCCGGTTGTTCTCCATAGTACTTTCATCTTTCGGAAGATCTTGTGGGGCTCGGAACCTGTTGATAAGTGGTATTTTGAATCCGTTGAGTTTGTCAGTATCTTGAAAGAAGGCTGTTTTGAGCCTTTGTACTGCTGTTTCCCCACTTGTCCAGTGTCTTTTTAGCTTCAGTTTCATCTTTGCCACAACGTGGTAGTCATATGAAGCTATATCAGCACCTCTTCTGGTTCTCACTCTTACCATGACCTTCTGAAATTTTTACTGACAGAAATATAATTAATCTAATTCTCCGTACTTTGATCCGATGAGGCTTATGTAGCTTTGTGTAGGCGTTTGTCGGTTAATATTCTGCCACATTTTAACGATCGATGCATTTTTTTAAACTGTTACACAATATTCTTATCATATTTTGATTTGCTTTATGATTGATAGTTTCAACTGAAAGTTACTGAATTTTTGAATTCATTAATCATAACAGTAATTATATAAACCACTTATTGGTTAATAGATTAATCAAAATGAACTAATCTTTTGAAATTACTAACATAAACTAAATTCTTCCCAAAACTGTATACACAAGAACTCAATGATATAAGTGCATGAAATAAAATCATTTCCGATTCTTATCATATGATTTCAATGAATGATTACATGAGAAGTAAATACAAATAATATATACATAGAATGAAGCTTCAAAAGAAAAGTAACCAAATTCATCCCATATATAATATTGTTTCTAGAAAAAAGAAAAACCTAAAAAAAACAAAATATAAATAAATGAACCGACAATAAATATCATTCATATCATTTTATTACTTGTTTCATTGATAGTAATATAAATAGTTTTCATTCTATACAAAAGAACATAATTCTGCAACAAGAAAAGTAAGAAATTTAATATATATATATATATATATATATATATATATATATATATTCCACAATTGACCATCCCATAGATTTGAGATTGTTCTTCTTTCCATTTTTGTTTTCTTCATTTTGTTCTTCTTTTTTCTTTATTAAATAAACAGTTTCATTTAATAGTTAATACACTGTATATATTACCAGTGTTATATTTAATAACCAATCATATTTTACTGAAAGAAAAAAGGAAAACTGTAAAAAAGAAAAGAAAATCAGTTTTATGCATAAAACTGTTATGAAGATTTTTTGTTTCTTCTTGAAATTTAAATATAACCATTGAACAAAGAATTCCCTTCATAATAAATAATCCATCTTTAATTATTTTCAGCATAGTAATTATTCTTAATTATGTCACTGAACATTTAAACAAACAAATTGTAATACATTGAATATTGAACAATAAAAAATTCATTTCAACATGAACTAAAACAAAATAAAGTTTTTTTTAAACTTATTTTTCAAATGATGTAATAATCTATTATCAATGATTTCATTACATAATAAAATACAAAATAATCATTCAAAACATATCAGATTTAATAAACATTTATCATTTTCCCCATTGATTATAAAAAATCAATATCCATCAGATTTCAATGTAAATTGTTCATCGAATTTAATCATTAATAATATTGTACATTTAGATACAATATTTCATTTATTACATCATTATAATAAATCATTATGGAATAAACAAAATTTTAATAAAAACTTTAAACAATATTCAATTATTTCTAAGATATTCAATTTAAATAATCCACTTTATAAGAATTTATTGTAAGTAGTATTTTTAAAAAAATAAAAATTAAAATTAAATTTTTTTTTAAATTTATTGATCATTGAAAATATAAAAAAAAGAGAATGAAAAACAAACAAATACATGAAGATTATGAAATTTTATTAAATATTGATTATAAATAAGATATGTCATTTCAATAATTGAGATCATGAATCCATTAAAGTTAAAGCATTATGGAAAACTTGAAAGTACTGGATAAATGTTTCGGTTTATTGTGAGCAGAGCTCATACATGAACTTTACTCATCAGGTTCAAAACCTGTACTTTCAGGTTTTTCATGATGGTCTCACTTCAATTGATTCACGATCTCAACTACTAAAATTACTATAATGTCCATAGAAAACCCCTTCTGTTACTAATCACTATATGCTCACTAGTAACTGGCTTCAAGAGTTCTAGTGAGAAGCAGTGACTAGTGGAGTTCAGCCAGGTCTTTTGTGAGATAGTAACTCACTGAAGGCAATGGTGGATGTATCGCTCAATTTTGTGGATTAGTTGAAGTTAGACATTAAAACTATTGGATGCCGACCGGCTCAGTGGTCTGGATGTTAACCGTTCGCGTATGAGACCGATAGATCGTGGGTTCAAATCCTGCGAGATGGAATCGTGGATGCTTACTGATGAGGAGTCTCAAAATAGGACGAAACGGCTATTTAATGCTTTCAGGTTTTCGATAGAGGTCAAGCTTTAGTCGAATCATGAACTCAACCATTAAATTATTATTCATTTTAGACTAACTTATTATTGTATGCTTTATTATTTAGATGACTGTGAAACATTGAGTGAAGCCAAAATAAACATTATTCATATATTGTATTGAATTCTAACGTTAAATTGTTTGTTAGAGTGAATCTTGTTGAGTTATACTGTAAAATTAGCTGTGTTAGACTAAAATTTAGTTTCATTCAATTATAAATGGTTGTTTAATAATTCATTAAATTAGCTCATCAACTAATATTTATTAAAATATTCGATTATCGTGTGCTTGATTACGAGTACAAAAAATAAGTGGTTATTAACAAATTTTATTTGGTTGGGCGAAATCGGGAGAAATAACTTCATCCATGTTTTCTTGACATTTTTCACTTATGGATAAGATGTAAATTTAATTGTCGAATAACCTTTGGTTGTCCATACATTCGCAAGCGTTTGACTCAATGTCTCAGTGAAACGCTTTTACCACTGTGTTATTTAGGTGACGTGTGATCTGTGAAAACAAGATAGCTTCGTTGAACTGTCATCCACCTGTGCATCAGAATATCAAGTCAATCACGCTAGTAGTTAGACTGTAACTTGATCAGTATAATCCGATTTGTACCGCAAACTGCTAGCTATGACGTCGGATACTACTCAGTTCTCAAGTAGTACATAATACTATGATGCAACATTAACTTTATTGAAAAGAAAAATCCAGTAGGAATGTTTTTTGAAACCACGTGGAGTGACACTTTATTATATTTAAAGATATATTTGCTTCGCAATTGGTTTCCTAGAATTCATTGGTTTAGCCGTCTCAATAGAGATTAGGTTCGTCAGTAGGTGTAGTCTTGACAATCAGTATGTAATTTGAAAAGTTGAAACAGTTTACATATACCGGAGACAGAACTAACAATTAAAACTCCAAATGAATATTTTTATCTCTTTTTGGTTACATTGGTTCGTCCGATTCAATAATGCAAAATGTCAATAATGCCTTGCATCTATTGAAAGATTTCGCTTTATGATGCTGGTACTATCCGATACCCCGTTTAATCTCTAGGTGGTCGTGGTGTTTTAATGCTCAACGAATAAACTATTTAGTTAAATGACTTTTAAAATGAAAGTCTCTTTTAAGGGGCTAATATCTATTGATTCAATAAGCTACATTTTTACTTACCGAAACAAGCATCAAGTGCAATATAAAACCTTTTGTACATACTGATGTAGTGAGTTAGAACAACAGCATCGATGAATCGATTTCTCAGTCAGTCATATTGTTCACTAAATAATACAATCAATACGTAATAAATATTTATTTCCGGATCAATTTTATACAGTATTCAAGGCTTTTTCCTCCTCATTACTACATATTCGCATGTGAACTAGATATTGTCAATAGTTAATAATACTGTTCAACATAGCTAGGGAACAAACAACAATTACTGACTACATATCGCAGATACCATCAAAACAGTTATCGCGTAGTACAGCTATAAAGTAAAAACAATGTCTAGTAAGTTCAATCACAGATTCCTTTATTTGTTCTGAAATAAGATAATTCTTTGAAAAAATATATGCAAAGTAAATAATAAAGCTCTTCATAAATCTTTTAGCATTTGATTTTGTGATCAATGTAAAATGTATATATAGTAAGCAGTTTAGCAAGCATATGTCTAGTTTTATTAAAGATAAATGCATGCTTAAACTCTCTAGTTAAGTAATTTATTTTCTTTATCGAATAGACTTATGGTATTTAAGAAATCAGTAATTATTCAATAATTTCAATCAAACATACCCTTCAGACTACTGAATATTGAAATGATTTATGAATATTTATGTAAGTATAGTCATATAGCATATCAGTATAAGTTTACTTTATATTCTGACATGTATGATCGATAACAAATATTTCTTATGAAAATAATGAGTACCAAGTACTAAGTGAAACAAAGAGTGATCTAATCCATAAAACGAATAGGGGTTGAGGTCAGAATCTCCTTATAATGAAGTTTCTTTAGTTTTTTCTTTATTAAATTTCACTTTGTAATGTATATGAGTGAAACAACCAAGAGGACAAGAATAAGAAGAAACATTATTAATAATTATCAACTATCAGATTTTTATACAACTCTAAACATGGTAGAGACATTTTTTAGGTGAAGTAATATGAGTGGGTGTCGACTATGGTGTACCTCTAAAATATTTGCTGTGATATATATATATATATATATATATATATATATGCATGATGTTAACAATAATATAATGTAGCATACCATTCAAAGAAAAGGTGAATTTTATCTAGGAAAATCGATCATTTCAGTGTCAATTTAATGATTATCATTGAATTTATAGATCAAATGTATGTATGTATCTGTGTATCTGTGTAATCACAACAACTTTTTATAAGTTGGTTATCACAAGATAAAATTATTTCAAATTCACTATTACTTACAGAACAAAACTAAGATTGGTAATATTAATAATAATAAACAGTGTGATATATATCTATGTATAAACGACCAATGCTTCATGAGGTGCGAAACAAGCAGGAGTTAGGCAGTGATCATGTAGCTGTCAAATTTAATGACAACAAAGTTGAAAATATTGTAACGTGAGTTACATAAGTATTTAATAGATAAACCGAATAGATTGGTTGATATTTTAATCAAATGAGTACATTCTCCTCCCAATATATAAGTGTATAATTATGTATTATAGGTGAGATTTGTATCAATTAAAATAGATTTGTTTCGGATGGTTTTGATTCACAAAAGTCGTTAATTTTGTAATTTTTTATTACGCGTCAAATTGGGTGTTATGTATGTATAACTGAGTTGCTTCATGCAAATCTTTTGGTTATGATTCGATCTTTGAATCAAGCAGGTTTAAAAAGTTGTGTAAGATGTTGTTCAAGACTGTTGAAATGGCCAGTTTACCATTATTATATTTTTAAGCCATACAAGTATTCATAAATCCCAATTTATATCATTAAGTGATATCATGGATCACCCCGCATTGTTTTGAGTAATATTTCCATTATCATTGTTTGCTTCAAATGACTTAGATATAAACTAACCGAGATATATAGGATACTGTCTGAACATTAGAAATTGTTAAAAGGATATATCTCATGTATCCCCTTCCCTTAACGGTATAAACCGGTCCCCTTATCTCAAAAGTCCTATTTCATGCTATCCTTAAATTTCGTAAAATACAAGGATAAGATAAAGAGTTTAGTGAGTTTTTTTCAGTTATCCTTCTTTTATGTCTTTGACTTTTTATTTAATTTATCACTTACAGTATTAGTAGAAGTTGCTTTACCAAGCCAATAGGTAACTACAATATTCAAAAATACTACAACGTTATATGGATCTTTTACAGCTCGACCTCATTTTCCCACTAAATTTTTAGTGGCCCTCGAATATCTGACTTTAATTGGATCATGTGATTATCGTAATCGGATTTTACATACTGTCAATCCTCACATATAATTATCGATTTAACTAGCGTTAATGAATAACAGGATTCAATAAAACAAATACGAGAATAAAGCTTGAATACGTATATTTCATACAATCGTTGATCTGAACAAACAGTCAGAGAATCGCAGAGAAGGTAGAGAAGAGGAGAGAGAGAAGCGAAACAAAATGACGTGCAGAGGAGAAGCTGAGAAAACCAACTCGATTTAACCAAGCAATAATTAATATTTATATTCAGATAAAAATAAGTTACAGACATGTGATGTGTAAGATAAGACATTCACACATACACTTACATAAAAACAGTCAAGGTTGATAAGCGATTAATTAACAAAATCAAAATGGGACTCAAAAAGAATGAATAAATTGGCTTGTCCGGAAACTAGAATAATTTATATGGGCTTGACATAGCAACCGACAGATGAAATTATGAATTATTAAATTTCAAATCATTGGTTAAATGATTACATGTTAAAATCTCGGTTTGAGCGAAATGATGAGCAGCAATTATTGATGAGTAGTACCAGTAAAAAGTGTGCAACACAAATGGAGTCACTTATATCACTTTTATAAACATTATTACTTTTGTCGTGATTAAACTATTGAAAAGAAATAGAGTTGTAGTTCTCAATACTATTTGCGTACATCTTAGTTTTAATCATGGTTTTTTTAAGTTACGATATTTTCAATTGTGATGTTTTCATGAAGTTGTAAAACATTCTATTATTTCAGCTTCGGAACCCACATATAAATTATCGGAGTTTTTAAAATTTGCATAAATAGGTATTTAAGTCATTAGAATGTTAACAGTTTATAAAAACATCGTTGGGCTTTGAATATGAGAGATTCTTTATTTTCGAATTTGATTCAAATTACTCAAATGTTTTGCCGGAGAAAAATGTCTTTCTCTTGAAGATATTTTGTAGAACATGCTTGATCTGAGAATTTGTCAAGGATTAACTGTCATTTTGACCCAACCTAATGTGTATCTGTCAAGTTAACCTGCATCTGGAGAGCATAAATTATTGTTTGCACAAGTGTGCTCTTTCTGAACCGATATCCAATCACCCCTTAGCATGGTCTTTGGGAGGCCAATGGAAATCAGTCAATCGTTTTACTGTTGAATCTTTAGCAGTACATATAATAACGACTCTACAATTCTCTATTTTATTATGAGCCACTAGATGTAAAAATATAAATATAAATACGTCTGTGTGTTCTAGTAACTGAGAATGTCTTGAAGAAAAAATTTTTTGTAACAACATCTTTATTTTCTTCAGTGACTCCTCATATTTCTTTCGCTGTTACTCACAATTTTACCATTGTCTTACTATGACAGTTCAAACAAGTTGACCATACTTCGTGTCCCAATTATCCAGACATAGTTACTTCGCCGACTAGGAATCTGGATATAAACTGAATTAAAAGTGATCAATTTTTCTGAAACTTTTCTTTATAAAACATTTCCATGAATATGCCTCGATAGGAAAGCTTTACAATTTCCTCATTACAATTGTAACCGAAATATAAGCAGTAGAAGTCACGGTAGTTATTCTACAAAATTATAGTACAATCATATTTATACCGTGCGTCCTGGATTCCACTGGTGGATATCATCCATCTTTGCTTATCATCATATTTATGGTTTAGTGTTTATGGATGTCACTAAAATGTAAAGCCATTCTAGATATCAATTTAAAAATAACTGTTTCAAGAAAAAAATATCTAATTAATTGGCTTTACGGTTGGAACAAATATCAATACGTAGTTTCGTTCTTAACTCCTTTTTTACTAGTAAACAGACAAAAGTATAACTACGGTATTTATAGGATTTTTGAAATTCCTGAAAAATCCGGAATAAGTGTTTCAAAACATTCTTCTGATTAGATTAAACGAGTCGTGTATAGCAAATTGCAAAACGGATATTTGTATGTAGATGAGAACTGAACAAACACGAATACATCTTCATCAGACAGATAGGATATTTACATCACAGACAGACTTTGATACAACGATCATTGAGTATCAGAATGTAATAAACATTTGATTTTTAGTTACTAACTATAATAAAATGTGTTTTAATTATCTTTTAATATTTAGACATGATACTGCTGAAGAACCTCATTGTAAACGATGTGATGAACCATTTACTGAAGATGAAAATATCGTTTGTGTTAAAAATGACATCTATCACCCGACATGTTTTGTGTAAGTTTAAATTTTTGTAATAAATCTCCCTTGATCATAAATTAAAAATGTAAAAATAAAACAAAAGCTCCCGAATGCCCTGGTACGGCCGAGAGTGTGGAGAGTCCGCTCTCCCTCTCGAAATGTTCTCACATGGCCACGCGTATATAGCCTCTGCCAGGGAAGTCCTACTCAATGCCTCCTCGTGGCGTGGGGTGTTGTTTACGAAAATGAGAGGACGAAAAGCGAATGTCCGGCGCTTTAACCAGATTCCAAACCAATGGTGCACATGAGCTCCAGTATCCTAAGGGAACAAATGGCGTATGAACCAATTTTTGGTCACCGGCTACCATGGGACTGCATCTCCTTACGATGCTCCACTGGCTTGTGGATCAGACCTTCAGGTCGAAGGCTCAGGGAGTGGCCCCCTAAGAAAACCACCTGCTTCGGTTTGGGCACCGGGCAGTATCACAGCCCTCACACATATCGAATGAGATTTGTGTGGCGCATATGTATTTGGTGCCTCCTTGTACCAATATCTATGTGTTAAAATAAAATAATAATAATAAATGAAATAAGAACTATAAATGCATACAGTTAGGTCAATTATTTAAAGAAACTGACTAAACTATTTGTGAAAAATATTAACAATTTTAAATATCATAATTTATTTGTATTAGCTATTTATTCTTCCCATTGATTCTTAGGATTGAAGTTGGTCAGTGTCCTTCAATTGTGGATCACCACAATATTGCCAAGTTACTTGTTTCGAATAACGGCTTGAACACTGACTCTGGAATGTAGTTACGTCTAGTCAAAGAGTATCAAATCGGAAGAAACATGTGTCTTGAACTTCCCTGCTAGCGACTATCTAAATATTAAATACCATAGTTGCAGTAAAAATCAAATCAATAGCCAACTATATAACATATTCACAGTTTAAAAAGTTAAGCATCAGGTATACGGCATTATAGGATCATTGACACATGGATGTAGGTACATGCAACTGATTCATCCAGTAAATAATGCATGAACAGTTCATAGTGTACTAACTAGTTACTGTTGAATATTATCACTTGTAAAATAATAAATTATTTAATGAATTGTTCTATATTTTCTTATGACTAGACACAAGTTAGATGAGTTTTATTTTGAAGTAACACAAACTGTTCCCGGATTATTTATGGTATAAATATCACCAGAAATATTAGTATGGTAGTATATGTAACTTTTAATGATATACCATAGGTATGTTATAGAGACGAAATCGTTTGCAAATGGGGTTTATATTCATAAAACAATAAGTATCAATGGGGTTTACTTTAATCTTACATAAACATTCTTTTAGATATAAATGTTAGTTCAAAGCCTACAAAAACTAATAACACATACCTAAAAACAACCGGATTTCTGTTTAATATGTAAAATTTTAAGACACTACGAAACAAACACAATGCATCACACTGTAAATTCATAGAGTCAAGATTTTCCGATTTACGGACTAGACCATAGTTTATTATTCTAGAATACTGTTTCAACTCTTTTAGATCTAAATAATATCTGTATATCCAGCTCTTTTTACAAGAGGCACATCACATAGCCTATTAAATAAGGTCGCCTTTAGTCAATCAGTTATTTGTGATGTATAGCCTCTCAGTCTGCGAAATCATAATTCATGGTCGAGAGATTTACAAGACTAAAATAGACTTCAGTTAAAAATGGCTACTAATACATTATTTTAGGTAAGTTTTATACGATATTGTCTTCTTTATACTTCAAACAAATTAATGTGTGAGTTCAAAGATATATGAAAAATTCTGTGCCTGATGATATGACATCATTGGCGAATAAACATCCGTTCGATCCAACACTAACATGTCTTACTACATACTGTTAGTAAATTACAAATTGTAAATATTGAACTTCTTAGGAGGTTTTCGGCTTTTCATTGACCATATCCAATCTCATCAGTCTAGTCATGAACTTTATTAACTATCAGATAAATTTGTTATACAACTGGTAGGGGACATATAGTGTTTTATCTTAACGCTTTTATCACTTATGTTTATTGACCTGGTTGTTATCCTGTTTCTGAACTATCCAGTAAAGACCAGTAAGAGATTATAGGCTTGACCCTTCTGGTCTCATTGCATGAATATAATTTTATTGCAGATAGTCTATTTATGTATCTCCAGTCTATCTATTTGATGAGAATGTTTTGAAGCAAAGTGAATTTTTCTCATTTGGTACTGGTAAAATAGTTTTATTTTTCTAGAAAATGAGTGAACAACCCTAATTACATAATAATTATGTCATTCACACGTAAAATGCTTTTAATTAATGAAATTTTTATTTTCTTCAACACTTTTTTTTCACTTCTTTCATTCAACTCTGAAGATGTACTCAATGTTTACAACCATTATCTAATAAAGAATTTTATGAGGTAAGTTAATCCCAAAGTTACGTATTACTCATATTAAATTTACGAATCTGATTATGTTTCGGTTATTTAGTTAGTTGAAGTAGGGGAAGATTTGCCAGAGAACAACATTCATACTCAGCATTATTCAGTAAATCTATAATATACTGACGGTGTTATGGTGTTTCTTATAATTAAATACTAGTGATACAGATATTTATTTTAGCATTAAAAGTTGCTTTTTTTTACAATGACTAAATAATGAAGATGAAACTGGTATCCAGTATACTCCCCACTTAGCCTGCGAATAGACATTTCACATCCGTTACATGTCGCAAAAGTTGTTGGGAGGAAGCTCTAAGTGTATGTGTTGAAATTTTCGTTCTGCTAAAAGTTTTACTTATTTTTCGGATACGTTTTAAAAGAAATCTTGGAAGTAATAACGTAATATTCCAAAACAATGCAAATTAATGAGCTTCTCACAGGAAGAAAACCAGTAATTTGTATGTAGTTCACATAAACCTGTCACCCACAAAGAATATTAGACGATGTTGTATCGACATGAAAACTGACCAAAATTAGCAATTATGACTTCAAACATTACATTATTTATTGAAAGATCTAAAGTGGCTGAGCTCTATTTCAATTTCAATCACGATGACGAATGATTTGTATGTTTTTAAACTGGAACTAAGCAATTACCTGATGACTATATAACTTTTTTACAGCTGAATTCACGAATCGATCTAAACTGGAGCACTGGACAGCCATTTCGTTCTAGTATGGGACTACTCAGCAGTGAGCATTCAAAATGCCACATGCGGGACCTAAACTCAGACCCTTCATTCACTCTTACGAACGCTACCATGAAGGTCACTGTAAAAATACTACAATCTCTTAAAATCCCTATATTTACCACACATTTGGTAATCGGTTTTCTAGTGGACTTTTATTCATGATACCAATCAGCCTTAAACAGAAAAACTGTCCAGTAAATTACTGACATAAACAACTTATCTAACTAGAATACTTGTTTAGAAAGTTTTGTGTTATCACAAACATTAATTGAATATCATTTCTAATCATTATTCTCTCAACAATTTTAGTTTGAAGGTCGAAGATATTGCAAATATGATTTTCAAGTACTTTTCGCACCATTTTGTTTTAAATGTGGTAAGTTGGTATTTAGTTAAATAGATTATTTACTTTCATTTTATTAGCTATTATAAATCTTAAATGAAACAATATTGTCTGATTAATATTGTAATGGTAATCAATAATAATAATAATAACATATATATTGAAAAGACCTAAAGATAACTACGCTTATTCATGGGAATGATTAAGTTAATATTAAATGATTACAATATTCAAAAAAACTATTAAAGGTATTTAAAAAGTTATGGTTTACATATCATTTATGAATAAACATTTTCACAAGGTTTTGAATATTGTGAAGCATATATTGATCAAAAAAATGTACCACACTAATAGTTATGCTTTTTGTAACCATAGCGTTTTCTTTAATAAGTCGGGTAACAAGAAAGTATCCTATGAAAGTAGTATAGCGACAACGATATAAGATATTGCAATGTAAATGTCATATAAGAATCAATATTTTCTTAGTAAGAATAATTAATACAACACTACTGTAAATAAATAGTGTTGGGTAAGATATTTTCAATCCTTGAAAGAGTACTTATAATTATCTACAATTAAAAAGAAAGAAATAAAAAAATAACGGAACATGGAACAATAATAAAAGTTACTACAACAGGTCTATTGTCGTATATGTTCTTGGTCTTTTCCTAATGCAATGATTTATGTAAGCTTTATTTAGTAATAAAGCAAATGAAAAATATAAGATTAGATATGAGACTAGACAGGTATATCGGAAGTGATTTATGATATTAACTTGTAATGAAGTAGTTTCATAAGATATCGGTATGAAAGAAAGTTTGACAAGTGTACTTAAAATTAAGTGTTGGCTTATTTAAGCTACTTATAATTTGACTGGTGGAACAAGATATAATTATTAGTGTTGCCGTTTCTAAGACCGTTTAAGAAAATTAGATGTTATCCAAGTGGGATACAGATAATTGTAGTGAGTTTGTTACACAAATAGATTGTGACAGATTATTGCTTCTAAGGTATTTCACACAAGAGAGGAATTAAAACAAAGTATCTTCTGATATTAATTAATGAATCCCATAACTTAAGGATTTAACCAAATGAATCTCATTATTAAATGTCAATAATAATATCTTCAGGATGTAAATATAAGCGATTATACTTTGTTCAAATAACTTTTATAATAAGTTCCTTAACAAGTCCTGCTAAGTGAGTCTTGATTGACAGTCTAAAATATATCACCGAAAATATATCAATTCAAGTTTATCTTTAGTTAGAATACCACTCAGAAAAAACCTAATTATTCAGAAGCAGTTGAACGCAAGCAGAAAATCAAGTTTCCTTCTAAACATACTTGAATAATAGTATTGTCCTTTACGCTATTTTTTAAGAGTACATGTTTCAAAATCCTGAATAAAGTTACCATTTGTTATACGAAACTACCAAAGGTCTTGTAAAGACCGACATAGATTGTAGTTGTATGCACTGGACATTAGTGTTAACACCTAAATTTATTCTAAACCTGTAAAATTAAATTGATAATATTGATTTTCTTCTGTTTAGGTGAATTTATCATGTCAAAAGTGGTAAAAGCAATGAATCGTAGCTGGCATCCTGAATGTTTAGTCTGTGATGAATGTGGTATTCAAATTGTAAGCAAAGGATTTCAAAGACATAAAACAAGGCAAGTGGAATGATAGATGTTTTCAATATGATTCAAAAATTAATTCTTCCTCATTGACACACAGATGAATACGAAAGATATACATTATTTACAATAAACTTACATCAGGTTAAACAGTTATATGTTTAAATTTATAATCTAACGGATTAGTCAGGTGTAAAACGAATACAGCTTTTGAGTACAAAATTGTCAGCAAAATAAAATTAATAAATATCAGTATAGGGTTGAGGCGATTATTAAGTTTTTATTGATACCATGAACCAATCAGTGTTAGACCACGATTGAAATCCTGTTAGCACTCGACGGTCATTTCGTCCTAACATGGGACTCTTCAGAATTGCGCATCACAATCCCTCTGGTGAGACTCAAACACAGGATTTTTTGTCTCGCGTCAACGCCTAGCGTCTATACCGCTAAGCCGACATCCAACGGTGTTAATTTGCACTGCTGAGGAGTCCCATACTAAAGCAAAATGGCTGTCTACTGCTTTCAGGTTTTGAATGACGGTCTAACATTGATTGGTTCATGATCTTAATAAAACTAGTAATATTAAAATTACTAGTATTTTATGTTAACCTTCATACGCTTAAACTTCACACAAAATTGTCAAGTGAATAATCAGAATAACTGTAGGTAACATATGGCGAGTGAGATATAAAAATACAACTGGAAATGAAATAAAATACTTCATCAAAAATAACCCAGCAGAAACCAGATAACACTAGACAATCATTTCGCCTTATTATGGGACTTCTCAACGTTTTGTACAAAGGTCATGGTTAGAAAGGCGTAGAGTACTAACAACTTGGGGATTGTAATTTAGAATGGATAACTCAAAAAAGATGATTGCAAAATTTTGTGTTTAATAATGTTGCTTGTCATCACGTCTATAAAATAAATCTTATTCAACTGAATCATCACGTTATCAATGGGATCACGCTCAAGTTACCGTCTAGTATTCACACTCTGATACAGTTAATCAATACTGATTGTTAAAGTGAATGATTTTATTTTATCACTCATATCATTCAGAGGTATGTATTGTATATCTTTTATGATAAAAATCTCAAGATAAATCATAGCGTTACGTAAATCATAATAGATGTAATATTAACGTATTGGTACTATTGTAGACGCTAGTTTCCTCTACATCTCTCTCGAATAAATAGTATCCCGTTAACTGAGTATTTAATGCAGGATAAATCTCCTAGTAGAATTATAGATTTACTCAAGATTATTTAAAAACCTCTACGCCAGTTATAGAGAGAGTTTATTGTTGGAAATTGGTAAAATCCGCAATCGTACAGGAAGCAAACACACAGGGAAACCAAGAGTGTGTATTTAAAATCCATATATCATTTTGAGTGTTAATCAAGTATGAATAAATTAATGATTGTCTGTGTATTACAACCAATGGGAGAAAAGATTAAAGATTGATGTGCATTCATGTGCTCAATCAAACTCACACAGAAATTTACATAGTGGATTAAGTGTTTAAATTACAGTGAGCAAATAAATGATACATTGGTTGAATGGTCCACCAGGGTGGTTGGTACCTGTGTGGTTGCGCCACAGGATTGAGCTGTACTATTCAGATTGTAGCGTTAAAGCCTATACGGTGTCTGGTTCTCCTACTAAACGGGGTTGAGCTGTACTGTTTGGGTTGTCACGTGAAAGTCCGGATGGTGTCTGGTTCTCCTGAAAACCAATGTAAAATTACCCTGGCCCACAAGGGTATATTATATAACTGTGAACTATGATAGCTGAATAGGCTTACTGGATTACAAAGTGTTTATTTCAAGAAATCTTTTTAAGTTATAAACAGAATTAATATATTTCCATTAATTATTGAATGTCACATGGCTCCATTTCTTTGTTGATTTATGAACTAGATTTTATTATCATTTAAGTACATTATATGATCATGTATGTGCACATTTAGCTTTAATTGTATACATTAACTAAGTATACATATATAAACACATTAATATTCCTTTAAAAGTGTAAGTACATATTTCAATATATTTCATTAAAACAACAAAATGACTTCAGTCAGCTCCTTTTTATACCAAACTAGATAAATTTATCAAATTCACAATAGAATGAATCAAAATCCAAGATAAATGTTTATTTAAATGGTGTGTATTTCAGTAAAAGAAAAACGAAAGTTTATTTAAATGAAACACAGAAAGCTTTCCAAGAAAAAAATGCATTTGTATATTTACATAATGTTTCATTTCATTTCATCTAGTTTTGTTACTGTAGTAATAAAAATCAAAGATTAATAATTGACGTATATTGATTTCATGATAAACATCGTATATTATCAATATCAATATCGGGTTGTAGAGAATATTAAGTCTTTGATTGAGATCATGAACTGATTGAAGCACTGGACGACCGTTTTGTGCTATTGTGCGCATCCACGATCCCGCTCGTGAGACTCGAAGCCAAGGCCTTCAGTCTCGCACGCAAATGCTAAACCTCTAGACAATTGAGCTGGCAGGCATCAACGGTATTTATGTCCAACTTCGTGAATGAATTCTCGGAGTTCTAATGAGAAGCTGTGACTAGTGGAGCTGATCAGTGTTGAATAGAGACAGGTATCTATCTCAGTACAATGGAAGATAGTCGTGTAATTTCGTGGATTGGTTAAGGTTAGACATTAATTATATATTTGTTTTTTGAATTTGGGGGGTTTCGTAGTCGTGTAAAAAAAGAAAGAAAAGGAAATATAATCTTTTATGACTAACATACGAAATTACGAAAAAGTGGTTGGACTCGATTTCAAATATTTTGAAAATAATAAAACGGCTAGTGTTAAAATGGTTAGAATGTTTGAAATTTCCATAGTTTTGTGTAATTGAATTCCTTAGTTACAGTCACCTATCATCAAATTTATCAGAACATAATAAAGCGAGAATAATGGAGGTATATACAAATGAGAAAATTTAAAAAAATACCTGACAGTAATTCTTCTAGTTAACATATGAACCAAATACTTCTCATAAAAAAGCATGTTTCTGTAAAGCGAAACGCGTCATTCAGTCCTTAAGAAATAAATTAATAGAATCAGCTCATAATTGATTGATTAAAGAAAGGAAATTAGTATCCCTGAAACCAAAACAAAATGCCAACTGAAATAAAATTGCTGTCAGTAAGGAAAACAGAAGTAGTGCAATTTGAAAAATACAGTTGTAAGTAAATATAGTTTATAACCTTATCTTGGATCCCATTCTAATCATGGTCCAAAAAATGGACTGACGAAAATGATAACTTTATGTTTGACGTAAAGCCAAATCTTAGTGTCATGTAGCATGTGAATAGGAAGAATGTTCTCACTCACAAGCATACATACACACAAACATGAAGTTATCGTGATAAATCAGTATTATTTGGCTAAGTATTTGTGAACTGCTATCTTAGAGCTTCTAAGAATTACACATTCATGTACTCACTATATAATGGATCGGTTAATTTCAAAATACTCATAAACAATAGTTTTATACTTAATTTTAATAATTTCAAGACTGTTCTTATATTTCGGCATTATGCTTACTTGAAAATATTGTAGAGAAACGAATTTCAAAGTAGCCTTCTATGAATCAATCCTAATTCATCGTGGTAGTATACGTTACAGATTATATGTGATTTCTAATGACTAATATAATATATAAACATATAGAATATTGCCTCAATTGTCATGGATATATGATGAAGAATATGCAAGAAATAGCTGTAGTTCAACTGAGTTTTCAACCCTAGCCATCAAAAATAATATTCTTCTAAGTATAGACATTCATTCAACCTTCGAAAATTAGGTTAATCTTGCAATTAAGATGTCTGTGAAACCTATTATCTTGTATTCGTAAATCTGTTGGTATAAAGATCATCCTCAGTCGTTACTGATCATCAATTTGAAAGCACTGGTTTTGTATTATACAGAATTCACTAGCTTGTTGCAAATAAATCTCATCGATGATAGTTTTTCTTTTTTACATTAACTTATAGGTCATTTTTTTCAGATGATAAGATTCAATCTGCTAATTCAGTAAGTTGAAAGATGTACCACTTGGAAGAAGATATTAGTCGTTAACACGTTTTCAAAACATTTTCTAATCATTTACTTAGTCTACTTAGCTAACTATTTTGTCATTTAAACATCTTATATAAATCCATGTGTTCCTTTAAACCTAATTTTAATCATTTTTTCAATGATGTAGTTGGCAACTGACTCTCAAATCTACATTTTTTCCACGTTCTTAAACTTGTTGTTTTAACAATTATGAACAATACTTCAGTAAGGTATCATTACCAAGGTTTGACTTCATAATTTCAAATATACTGAGCATTGAATAGATTGCTATGAATAAAAAATAATATATTTGTAATATTCCAAAGAGCAGAAAAATTAGATTTCTGACGTTTCATGACTTAGTGTAAGCCACTTCTTCAGAAAATAAATAACTAAACGTCACAAAATCTAATTATTCTACTCATTGGAATGATTTTAGTATCTTAAAGCCTATTTCGTATTAATAGTAGATACCTGTAATCTTTAGTTTTCTTGATAAATGATTGTGTTCTGCAATATTTTAATATAATAACCATTGTGTATTTAATGAATTTCTGATAGAATCCTGTGTAAAGATTGTTGGTCTGTTATATGTCAAGAATTAGTTGGACATCACATATGTCAAACATGTAATAAACCAATTGAATTAAATAAACACATCAAATTTATGGGTGATTTCATCATCCACATCATTTTCATTGTTATGATTGTGATCAAGAACTTGGTTTGGATGCACATGAACGTGGTGGTGAATTATATTGTCTTAAATGTTTCAGTCGTTCTGGTGTATCAATATGCTCAGCATGCAGGTAAACCAATAATTGTTGCAATTTTTTTAAAAAATATAGATTAATTTCAGATGAATTTTGTTCCTTTCAAGTTTGAATAATAACAACCCTGAATGTATAGAAATTGCATTGACTTTTGAAGTAATTAGACCGTTTGATAAATTTTGATCGTTTAGTAAAAAAGATGAAGATTTTCATTCCTACATAAAATGGAGAAGGTTAGATTCATTCTTTATTGATAAGACCAAACAATAGATATTTAGTTTAGTCGCAATGAATGATTAATTGGTTTTCCAAAAATCTGATACATTTCATATGAAGAAAATTCAATGTAAGATCTACTGGTTTGTATAGTTTGAATAATTCAGTTAGGAAAAATGTAGCTTTGTCAAATCAAAAAGTGAGAGGTTAGAGATAAAATAGAGGATAGTAGATCTGGAGTTCAAATTTAATTTCAGGGACATTTTAATCTACTGCAAACATATTGTATTTTATCATAATCAGTTATTACCGATATTGTATTAGTCCAATAAAACGTTAGACAGTGTTGTAATGAATATATAAAAACCGAAGACAAGATTCCAGATTTATTCGTTTACTCATTCAGTTCAAATTTAAAAATGATTTATTGTAAATGTACAATGCTAAGGAGTCCCATATTAGGATGAAACGGCCGTCCAGTACTTTCAGGTTTTCTGTGGTGGTCTAACTTCAATTGATTCATGAATTCAATTATTAAATTACCACAATCTCCACAAAATCCCTACCTGTTTAGCAACATGTATTAATGAAGGAATGAACTCTTGAACAAAACATTTAATTATTTTTATGCTACTTATGGACTAATAAAAATACAGGTCGGATTAGAAATCTTTCTTTAAGATATAATGACAGAGATGTTCTGTTATGTTTAGACACCTGTGAACCATAGACAGTTTTGTAATCCAGATAATTATTAATCATATAATATGGATCTGAGACAGTGAAGACTTATGTCCACAAAAAAATTGATATGTGACACGATAAGAATTTCGTTTCTATTTACACTCATTTTTATCAATCTGTAAAAAAAGATGTTTCAAACTGTTGTTTTTCAGGACAATGAACGTTGGCATTACTTTTAAAATTTTACGCTAACACATTGAAGTAGTTGTCTTTCTACCAAATGACTTGGTAACATAACATAGTTTAGGCTTAGATCGGGAAAAATGAAACGGTGAATATGTTTTATACTTCCTTAATATTTGAATCAATGCAGTTATCAAGAACTTAAGAAGGATAACTATGCAACAGATTTTATGTAGTAGTGTTCAAAGGTCTCCAGCATAATATGTAAATATTTTCATTGTTCTGAATAACCATTACGTTATTTGAATAACTGATACCTATGGGAATCGTCAAAACACTAGATTTTTTCTTCCTTAACTCACACTTATCTGTGCTTATGTAATTGGTTGGAAAACTAGATCACTGAAGATTGCTTGTTTTATGTTATCATTGACATTTTACGTTTTGAACACATGAAAAGCCCAATTTTATTATCAAATATCTACTACTGTGTGCAGTACTAGCACATAAGAAGATTGTGAGAAAGACAATCTCTTCCTATTTATGACTGTTTAACAGAATATAACTACGGTTAATATTCAGAAATGAAGGATTATTAATCGGTTCTTGAGCTAAATTTATATCATTGAGTAACAGTACTTCATACTTTAAATACTTAGTATATAAATGAACGTATAAATTCATAGTCACTAACTGCTTCTCTCGACACGAATATTTGTTAGTTAATTGATACGGTTTGTGAAATTCAGAGAATGATATACTTTAGATTTCACCAAGAATGTTTAGTTGTGGAAACACACTGCATCAGTTACATTTAGTTACTTTTCTTCACTCTGTTTCTTTGATTTAGACGTCCGATTGAAGGTCGTATAGTTTGGGCGCTTGGTAAAGTTTGGCATGTTGAACATTTTGTATGTCATCACTGTGAAATACCATTTATGGGTAGTAGGTTTTATGAGTGGCAAGGACACGCCTACTGCCTAATACATTATCAATCTAGAATTGGAAGTGTCTGTCATATATGTGCGAAACCGGTTACTGGTATATTGGTTAAATTTACTAATAAAATTTATTGCCTGAACACTTTCTTTGTTCACTATGTGACAGAAAATTAGATGAAAAGTAAGTGGATATATTGATTCTTTTTTATTTTAAAGGTCTTTTCAAATAACCGATAACCTAAGAAGATTACACCCTTCAAACTAATGAGCTTGAAATTAATTGAATTGTGCTTATATGATATTGCTCTCCAATAATAATAATTCTACTTAATAATGTATTAAGTAGATTGAAGAAAGATTATTTCTTTTTATAGCCATACTGTTCGACCTGACCGTTAAAAGTTAATCTGTTTTGAGTATAAGTATATAACTTTGATTTTCAAAGACTATTTCGGCAGCTCTTGTGGGAAGCTATGACCGATAGATTTCCAAAATGTTAGGTGTGAGACACTTATCAATGATAATAGGTATATGAGCGAAACGACAAACTGATTGAAGATAGAAATATTAACCACTGACTGCCAGTTCAGTATCCTGAAGTAATACACTCACTACAAGAATTGAAACTATGGGTTCATTTTCTGGTATGGACGTAAATGAGCACTAAAAACAACAGTACTAAAAACAAATATCCGTCTCTTGCTTCCTGATTTTAGATGGTTGTCTAAGGTCAGTCATTGTTATCAATTACCAAATATAACTTCATTTATTAATTACTTATGGAAAACGTAAATTATATCAAAAATTAAACATCTGACTAAAACTAGACTTTATCAAATGTAAATGGATATTTGTGAACACTTTGTTGACTAGTCTAACAGTTACTGGTATATGAGTGTGTGGAAGACAACAATAATAAAATAAAAACCGTCAGTTAGCTCAATAAAATAGTTCCAGAGTTTCACCTGTCAATCTGATCTAACATTCTATTCATATAACATGATAACTTTAATTTGAGTACAAAATTTGGTATAAAATGTATTCATGTTTCATGATAACATTATCTGTATATGCTTAATCATCCAACCCTCTGTGCTGTGTAGACGAAGCCAAAGGGCACAACTACAGTGGCGAACATTTTTATTTACAAACTGTAAATCTCGGTGAAAACAAGAAGAGGTTCCTAGGAATTTAAGACAAGATTGTTTTCTTCATTGCGCTTGTCACTTTCCATGGAGGAGCACTGACCACCTACCAGGCTTCTCAAACCAATTCTATCCTCGGCTCTTCTTTCAAATGATCCTAGTTAATCTTCATTCTTTTGATAACTGCTTCTCATTCTTGTCGTAGTGTTTACTTTAGTCATCCAATTTTCCGCTTCCCTTCAGGATTACAAGTTAGTGCTTGCATCATGATGCAGTTTCGTGATTTCCGTAATGTATGTCCTATCCACTTTTGACGTCTTTTCCTAATATCCTCCTCAGCTGAAACCGAGATTGTTCTCTCTCATAGCAGTCTATGGATGATGGTATCTAACCAACAGTCATTGAGCATCATACGTAGACAACTGTTTATAAATACTTATACATGTTTGACGATGATTGTGGTAGTTATACAACTTTCACTCTGTACAGTCGAACTGTCTTGAAGTTCATATTGAAGATTCTTACTTTGGTGTTGGTTAACAGTTGTTTTGAGTTCCATATGTTCTTCAACTGTTGGAATGCTGGATTTGATTTGCCAATCTCTGTATTTACGCCTTCATCGGGTCCTCCACGTTCATTGATGATTCTGTTCAGATACGTGGAACTTTCCACCTCTTCCGGAGTTTCTCCATCAAGGATGAATGAGTTGATGTTCTCTTTGTCGTAATTGAGGATGTTGGTTTTTTCCTTGTGTATGTTGAGGCGTACTGATGCAGAGGCTGCTGCCGCTACATTGTGTGTCTTCATCTACATTTGTTTCTTTGTATCGAACAGAAGAGCTAGATCCGATCTGTCCATCGTATTCTGTGCTTCAGGTCAGATGTGGAGGTCTTCATAATCCAGTCAACAGTAGTGTGATGCATGTGAAGTTTAGATATTTGCTCATATTTCGTTTCTTTGGTACCTTTATGAGGTGTCCTTCCGTCCAGTCTGTCTGTGGCACTTGTTCCTCCTCCCAAATCTTCCTGAACATGAAGCATGTTCGCAGTTGCTTCTATGTCTGACCTTAGTGCTTCAGCTGATATGTTGTCTTATTTTGCTGCTTTCCCAATCTTGATTTGTGTGATGGCCATCTTGATTTTTTTGGTCGCTGATGGAGTGACATCTATAAAAGGTCTGTAGGTGCTGCTTCGGTACTGATGGATTCAATGGAGCTGGTCTGTTCAACAGTTCATCGAAATACTCCACCCATCTATTCCTCTGTTCTTGAATCTCAGTGATTGTCTTGACGTTTTCATCCCTGACTGATCTCTCTGGTTTACTGTATTTCTCAGTCGTCTGATTTTTTCTTCTCTTACAGCTTTTTTCACTGTCGTTGCTGGTTCTTCCACGTATATCTGCTTGTCAGCCCTGATACTCCTATTTACTCGTTTGTTTGATTCTGCGTATTCAGCTTGTGCCTTGACTTTCTTTGTTCTTGTTCAGCCGTTGTTAATTGCTGTCTTCTTGTTCTTCGTTTCTTGGATCGTATCCAGGGTTTCGATAGAGACCAACCTTCATGATTATGATTGTTCGGCCAGCATCTCCCGACACGTTGAAGTTAATGCTTTTTAATCCTCTTCTGGTTGTCTTCCATAGTAGCCTCCTCTTTGTTGTGTAGATCTCGTCCCATAATATCTTCATAACCGCTGTTGTGCACTCCGACCTTGGCGCCTAGATCTACCATCTTGATGGCCAGGTACTTTCCTGAGCATTTCTGTATGATTAATTGCAACCTCTCGTAAAACTGATCTTATCATCTTCGTTGTTATCACTGTTGGGTGCGTAACATTGGATAACGTTCATTGTGATCCCCTCCTTTTTCCTTTTGAATGATGCCTTGGTGATCCAGGTCCATGAGATTCCCATCCCGTACGTGCTATATGTGCTTCTTTGGACAGCATCAGAGCAACTCCCTGTGTGTGTAGAGCATTTTATTATCCGTGACGAGTGTACCACCACATCTCTCCAGAATCTATCCTTTTCTATCCGGCTTAAGTTCAATGGGTTTTAGTGATTCCGAGCACCATCAAGTTGTATCTCCTCATTTCCGTTGCTGTTTGACTGATCCTCCCGTTCTCCCATACTGTCCGGATATTCTATATACCTATAAAAATGGTTTCCTTGGTGTTTAGAAGGGGTATCAGCTAGTGACTTCCAGAGAATATCGGCTTTCATCATATGGTGTCATAATTGTTCCTTCGACTCCCAGCAGAGTTTAAATGGTTTAATTTGTTTATTCTGGTTGGTGTTTTTTAACTAGGTTGTTTTACACGGGATAGGATTGTCGACCCGTTATTTTAACTTTCCTCCTTTACCCGGTCTTGGGACCGTCAGTAGCCCAAGAAGAGCTACAAATAGACATTTTATACATGATAGCTTGTAACTAGTTTGTCGTATTTTTCAAAAGTGTCAGGGGATATTTTAGCTCAAAAGAGACAACTTAACAAATGTAGATATTTGTTCATAGTTTTAAATTTTGAGACAAATAAACTTACTTTGATGATGAAGTTTTTACTCATTCACTGATTGATAATTGCCAATATACATTAGACTGACCAATTACTTAGTATATTTGAATGAAATTTGAAGTGATTTAATATAACAAAATTATTATATGCCATTAAACTTCGTAGGTCATGGGCTAAAAAATCTTCTCTATGTTAGTTAAGATTCGCAAAATCCAGTTATAAAGAAGTAATGTTTTGGTCTGATAATCGCCGTTAATTCATACTTGAGAGTTAATTTTATACAGAAGATCTTAGACTTTAAAATTACATAAAAGATTAGGCGAGACTACAGTTTATGAAATACCTTTAAGCGATGCTAAAGGAACCTTGAGAGTATCCATCTAATAACCAGGACCAAATGAGAGTTATAAACCTGTATGAGGAATTAAAATTATGATTTACAGTTGATGATTAAGGTTAAGAATTAGATTTAAGGTTTTCATCACTAACTGACATCAGCTATTATGCCAAAATTCTATTTAGCTAAATGAATGAGTGAACTTTGTGCCAAAACCCGAGACCTGATATCTTATACCTAATTTAGTCGTCCACAAATTTACTCAATATGAATATTTTATTTCATATTTTTTTAGATCCAAACTTTATGAAATCGATTTGAAACCAGTATGTAAAGATTGTTATGATAAATTACCAATACAGTGGAAAAAGATTCTGGCAAAATTCATCGTGCAGATAGAAAAAAATGGAGTAATTAATGATTATTTGTATATTCATAAAAAATGTAACAAGTTTACATTTATTCCATACAATCATTTAAGGAAACCATTTCAAACAGTTGACATATATATATATATATAACCTACATTTGAGTCAACTATTCAATGTTTTAACAGAATTTTATTTTCTATAATATTCTATTCAAAACTGTATACATAGTTTTCACTATCATACTTCTATATTCTGATTAATCTGTAATGTAATTAAGCAATAGATGGAAAAGCAATTCATTCTATTTGTTTTCTGTGTAGTGCTTGTTGTGATATCGATTAGCAAACAATATTGACAAGAGAAAATTTACTTGAGTCGTCATGATATTCAAATTAATGGTGTACAGTTTTTCATCTGATATTATTCAATTAAACAAAATAAAATCTGAACTTAAACAAAGTCTCTGTATAATTTCATTTGTGAAGCTTTATACCACATACTCAAGTGAAAGGAAGGATTTTAAAGTATGAAAATATCGTCATCCTATATGTTAAGTTAAAGACTTCTTTCCAGTTTTAATTGAGGGGAATTAATTAAATACACAAAAACGAATAATAATTATACTTCTTTAGGATGCTTTGGTTGAAGAAAATAATTTTGAATTAATTATTCCATACGTTGTTCTCTAAGTTACGAGATTAAACTATGGCCTTAGTATCTCTTTTATGGTTTACTACCATGTGTTCAACAGTTTTGTTAGACTTCAATATTAATAAACCATAAAACCAAAAATTCGTTGGGTTCTTTTCCAAAATACTCATAAAATCTTAAAAAATGTATTTGCTGTAAGAGCACGTGTTTCTCTCTAGTCAGCCAGCGTTTATCCATGATTATCTACACTATTAGGGGGAAGTATAATTTTCAAGCGAGAAATCAGGAAGCTGTATCTTTTGAGCTTTGACTCTTTTGGAAGATAATTATAACTATTTCTGAATTAGATGTTGTCCATAAAAATAATAGGTCGTGATGTGTGATATTTATTTGACATTTACCTTGTGTAAGAGGTTCGTAGCTTTTTTTTTACATTTAGTGTTTGTCTCATTTTTAGTAGTCAATCCTGTAGTATAGATGAAGTGTGAAAAAACTTTATGTAAGCACTGTATATTCTGGGGTATTGACGGATATTAATACATTTGAGGTGTTGAAACCAAATGAATGAAAGATAGATTAGTTTCTAAAATCAGAGACTGATGAAGATCAGTCTTTATAAACGTCTTCAAAATACTCTTGCAATGTAGTTTAATATATATTCAGTAGTTTAATTGCAATGTCACTATTTTCACTTAAAAGAATTACGCCGTTGGTGTACTGCAACATGATGAAACCGATTTAATTTTGAAGATCAGTTCCTAAAAAGAGTTGTGTTATTTTACTTTAAAACTTTTCGATGAAAATAAATGAATATCTGCAGAGTGATAGCCACAAACCGACACCCTTTAAACCATGCAGTTTTCAAAAAGTTAGTAAAATCCGAGTAAATGTCTTTTTAGAAGGTTAATGTAGGTGTTCTAAACATATAACCAAATAGAGATAGAATAAATCTCCATAACAGTATTAGGGAAATCTTGTTTTTCAACTGGTATACTGAATATTTAAGTGAACGAATAACCATTTTGTGATTCACGTGTTAACGACGATCAGTGGTTCGGGACTTTATATGGCATCGATTAGAATTATTCTCAGTTGTACAAATCCACTCCACTTGTTTCCTTAAAAATACCTTTTCATACCTTATTCTTGAACCGTGTTGCTAAGGTCCTATACTTCTTATTACCAGTGTTATAGAATTATTTCATCTTGTAGTGCAAATGATGTTTGGGAGTTTGTGTTAAGATTTATTTGTGTCGGACTCGACCTTGATTATGATTAATGAACTGACTGGCTATGTTTTCTGATGTCACATATTCGGAAGGATTCAAAACACTTGCTTTTGTAATTATTCTCTTGAAATTAGATGTTCATCGTATATGTAAACAATCAGGGTGAGTATTTAAGTCAGTCAGTTGTTTTTACATCTAGGAGATTACTGCACAATATTTGTCATAACGCTATAAATTTGTCTGTCAGTCAGTTGAAATGACCGAATTTATCGTTAAGTATCATCATCCTTCTGAAAATTGTTTTGAACCAGTTTTCTAATTTAGTTTACAAGTCCTTCGAGAAGTAAGATCAGTTAAATATGTTTATGTATTTCTTTACGGTTGGTTGTACTTTCGCATTGAAAAGTTTTATATAAAACGAAACATGGAATCTACACTTGAAACCTTCAATGTTATTTTACAGGTATTTAATACAGAGTATGTATGAACTTGAGAAGTAGATTTGTGTGGTGAGTTTAGTACTTATTAAGATTTGAACACATGAAAAAGACTTGGATACCTGTTAATATAGAACTGTATTATTAAAGAAAAATATTGATGATTTTCATGATGTTCCAAACTGTTATTGAAAATGTTCTTATGAGATTAATTCAGAAATTCATTTTAAACATAAAAGTAATAACTAACTGAGTGAGTATGTGTCTATATGTTGGGACATAAAAGCTATTATTAACATATGAAAATATTCCCCCAAACGTTTATGATTTTGTTTCATTTGCCAATTAACAACTGCTTCTATATTGTCTTAAGTCACAGAACTTATAGACAGAGATGGATTCCACTGCTAGCCACTATCCATATCTACTTATAATGTTTTTGGCTTGAGGCAATATCGAGACAGGATATACATAAGCTAATAAGAGACTGAATAATTACAGTCCCAAACATCAATGAGAAGATTCAAACAACCAATACAAAAAATGAATTAACAATTTATAAGTGAAGAAAACGTATGAAAATCATGAAATAATTAACGACAATTGACTTCGTTAAGTAACAATCGACAGTCACCTGGTTTGCATTTGTACACTAAAATGATTTAAATGTATAGGAACAATATAATTAAATTTATTATTCAGAGTATAAATTAGAGACGTTAATGACGTTATCACTGATAACAATGACAATGATAATTCATAATAATCATTATTATCACGATTTAAAACATCTTGATTCAATGACTATGATTTTCGTATAATAAAAAAAGAAACAAACTTTTGTTTTAATCTGATACCTACATTGTAGTTGTTTCGTTGTTAATGAGGTATGAAGAAAGATATTTGAAAATATTTTCAACCTTGGAGAATAAATAGTTATGAACAGACAAGTCAATAAACAAACAAAATATCCAACGACAAGTTTAAAGTACTCTTGTAACTAAATTTAAATAACTGGATGCATTACATCTTGCTAACACTAAGAGATGGTTTCAGTATACCAGGTTCGTTAAGTATTTGCAACAAATTTGAACCTAATGTTGTTCTGATGCTGAGCTCATCAGATCCCATTACCATTGAATTTCTGAAAGATTCAAACTTGAAAGTACCTTCACGATGAGATTTTATTAAAGGGTTCATTTCGTCAGAAAATCCAAAATAAGAGACGCAAGAGAGAATGTGAAGGTAAACCAGCTTGTAAGCACAATATTAAGAATTAACTCAGTAACACAGTGAATCATGAATAAATGAGTTATAAGCGTTTTGTCATGAATCCATGAAAACAATCTTTTTTTTATTAAAGCCATAAGTTGACCTGCTGTTACCAAAAAGCAAACAAATCTACACAGATATAGGTATCATTGTATGAATGGCATATACTGATGGCTGTGAATTATGTACCGTTATAATGATCCCAATTGAAATGAATCAACATTCAGAATCCAATTGTTCAATATCACACTTGATAAAGTTGGATTACTCGATTAATAATATTAGAGAAAGATTAGAACAGCATAACGTTTTACTTGTTATGTCTAAACTGCAAATCCTAGTGTTTTTAAAACAACATAGTTGGAAACCTTAAAGCTTTGAAAATTAGATCTCAAACTATGCGTATCTTCTAGAACGGATACCAAGTTGCCTGACATTGAGTTATACATCAGGATAGTGCTGGCTTTCCAATGTCAAATTAACAATTATGATTAGGCTGAAAGGAAACTGTTTATTAGGTTTTTAATTACTTACGACTGTTACTCCTCGTGAAGGAGCATAGGCCGCTCACCAGCATTCGCCATCCAACCCTGTCCTGGGCAATCTTTTCTAGCTCCTTCCAGTTCTTATTCATCTTTTTCATATCTGCTTCTTTTTCTCGATGTAATGTGTTCTTTGGCCTTCCTCTTTTTCGCCTCCCTTCAGTATTCCAAGTTAGGACTTGTTCGTGATGCAGTTTGACGATTTCCGTATGTGTGTCCTATCCATTTCCATCGTCTTTTTCTAATTTCCTCTTCAGCTGGAAGCTGGTTTGTTCTCTCCAGAGAAGGCTGTTGCTGATGGTATCCGGCCAATGGATGTTGAGCATCTTGCGTAGACAGCTATTTATAAATACTTGCACCTTCTTGCTGATGGCTGTTGTAGTTCTACAAGTCTATTAGTTGGAACCAAATTAACCCTCCGTTTTTATATTTACACTCTCTTAGCCTCCAAGAGTAGAAAAAGAAGACAAAAACACTTCATACGTTAATTCTAACTGTATCGATCATAAATTCATTTTATCGCGCTCTGAGTTTATAAAATTCAAATGGCTCGTCAAATATTGAAATTTAGCTCTTATAAAGTGACAGTTGGTCATTCGACCTTTACGCATCAGGAGTTTTATCAATTTAATATTTCGCTTCAAATAAACGCTACTTAATATTAATTTAGTACATAGATACATGTTATTGAAAAATCTTAAATAAAAACAAAGGCTAGTTGGCTCTGTATCCAATGAGTACGAATGAATAGGACAGTTTGGAGACAATTTATTCATTGATTTTTTTATGACAAAGTCCTCGTATGTTTTATTTTCAAGTATCATTAGGCAACCGTTAATACAGAAATGGGTAACTGACTTCTGAATAAAATGATTTAAATGTTATAGTAGACTTAAATTCATTTACTTATGATAGATGTCTTGGTAGTCATTAATTAAATACAGTGAATAGGAAAATATCAAAGTATAACTGTTTCGACATATATTTCCTTATTTACGAGCTATTAACTCTTTGGTTTGATTATAAAATAACTACACTCCCAATTTTGTGTTGAAATAGTTTTCTAGGAAATGGAAATAAAATGTCTACCATATTAAATATGAATAATACGCAATTACTTACGGGATACTGTTTGAAACTAACTGGTTAAATATTTAGTAGCTAAAATATAATAATCACCTCTATATTTATAAGTCAATGTAAATAGATATGAAGTTGAATAAACCTCGATTATTAAACCAACCAATTACATCTTTTCATGTTGATTAAACTTTCGAAATACTATAATCGTTTATTCGCATACACATGAACAAATTCAGATAAAGACAGCCAGTGTAGCTGTAGACTCTGCAGCAGTCACAAGGGGAAAACCAAGGTCTATGCTCCTTTACGAGGGGTAACAAGTGTAAGTAAGTAAGTAATAATTGTTTATTAAACTCTCTGGATTCTATTCAAATATTATTTACCAAATAAGAGTCAGCCTATTTATTATAGTTCTGTTTTCATTCATTCAAATTTCATTCTACTGACAAACAAGTTCATTATCTTCGTTACCAAATTTTTAAACCTTTAAATAATATAGAATTACAACTATTTAGTACAAGGATGTACTAATAACTACAAGTTTTATGCTATTTTGGATTTACAACTCATGCATTAAAACAAATGAAATCTAAGATCATAAAGTGTAACATTTTATAAATTTTAATAAATACACTACAACGATCTAATTTGACAATAACCATAGTAACAGATTTACAGTTAATTGACTGAATTTTTCAATGAGGAAAACTACAACATTAATTAATATGACAAAATAAAGCTTCTAAGCAAAGGTACATCAAAAAAATAAAATAACATTAGCATTTGATAAATACTTTTATGAAATATGGAGATTAATCTGTCAAAGAATAACTCTTATAATCACTTGATTTTGTTTACTTAAATCTTCCTATTGATATTTAGGACTGTAATTGATCAGTCTCTTATTGGTAATATGTGCATATTATGATATTATGATATTTCCTTAATTCGTGAGCATTCTATGCAAAGATGGATGGTAGCTAACAGTGGATTCCAGGGTTCGAGTCCCAGAGTGAACATCAACTCTGAGATGCAGGTATACCCAGCTGACAAGTCCCAAAAAAGACGTAACGTGCTTCCTAGATTCCACTACCCATCTCTGCTTATAATAAATCATATAGTTTCGATTTCGTTTCTTTTCAATTCTTTTCAAGTTAATATATTAATTTTGATTGAGATCGTGAACCGATTGATGTTAGACTACCATGGAAAACCTGGAAGCACTGGACGATCGTTTTGTTCTATTGTAAGACTCCTCAGTAGTGTGAATTCACGATCCCGCTCGCGGGATTCAAACCCAGGGCCTTCAGTCTCACGCGTGAATGCTTAACCTACTGATGGTTTAACATCAATCGGTTCATGATCTCAATCAAAACCTAACAATCTCCACAACCCTTATACTGATAATATATTAATTGCTAGAACAAATAACTTACTCATAATAAATATATTTCTGTTATATCCGAATGAGTAGAAAAATTGTATTTTTGACGTTTCATGACTTACTGTAAAGAAATGGTTTAAATTAAGTCACAATACGTCAAAAATACAATTTTCGTACTTATCAAGATATAACAAAAATATACTTATTATTAACTCTCTATTCAGTGCTCAGTTTATTTGAATGACACTATATATTTTAGACATTGACAATGATTAATATTTAATAATAATTTAGACTGTAGAAATGCAGAAACAATTAGCATATAAACTAGTTTCAATAAGTATCATGGGTAATTTGATAGTCTTAGAATCATATTGTTTCAATAATTTGATTTGATCCTAAAACTATAATTTGCCTAATTAAATTAGGCAATTGTAATTGATTGATATCAACTAAACTGTTTCATTCGATATTCTATTGTGTATTGAGTCAAATGAACTAACACTTTTTGCTTCTTAAAACAATACGAATAGGTACTTTATTTAATTATCTGATTCAGTGTTATAAATACAGAATTTATTAAACACACTGTGTCACACAATAGGATGAGACGGCCGTCCAGTGGTTTCAGGTTTTCCATGATGGTTTACCTTTAATTGACTCATGATCTCAATTACTGAAATTACTATCATATCCACAAAAAACCCCTTTTGATACTAATCAACATATGTTTACTTGTGATTGGCTTTAAGAGGTTAATCCTGAAGTTCTAGTGAGAAGCAGTGACCAGTGAAGTTCAACCTGGTCTGTTGTGAGATAACAACTCACTGAAAGCAGTGATGAATGTATCACTCTATTTCGTGAATTAGTTGAATTTAGGCATTAACACCGTTGGATGCCGGCCATCTCTGTGGTCTAGAGGCCAAGCTTTCACACACGAGACCGAAGGTCATGGGTTCGAGTTCGTCATTCAAGATCTTGGATGTGTACTGCTGAGAAGTCCCATACTTGAACGAAGAAGCTTGCCAGTGCTTCCGGATTTTCACCGGTGGTCTGACTGACCCATGAATTCAACTGTGAATATCTAACTAAGGTCTACTAAAACTTACATAAATCTAAACAGCTCACCAGTAATAAGGGATTGGAAACTATTCCTCCAGAATAACATCATAACAGATAACTGATAAGTTCTTTTAGCTGTTCAAATTTGCCACTTTACTTATTGATTAAGGAGTTATTCAATATGTTGTTACGTTTACCCTTTAATCTAATATTATCCTCTATTCTACCTTCATTTTGATTCAAATGTCCGTACACACAAAATAATAGTTGTCTTTATTATATATCAAAGGGGTTATTTACAAGTGTTAGGAATTCTATTTTTCTGATTTTTGTATTGTTGTGACTTGAACTTGGATCGATTTTTACCCCGTGTCAATTGTTGTGTCCTGGACTGGAAGATTAGAGATCAGTGTATTTATCGAGCAATGACACGTAAAACACGTACGAACGACCTAGAGTCCCGACTGGCCCTGCTTCGCTGTCTAGTCCAGCCAGTTAGAGTCCAGAACACAAGTCTCAGCCTCTGAGATATGAATCATTGTGTTTCAAGCATACTCTGTTTATATACCAATCAACCCGACCACAACGTAACAATAAAATAGAAAATAACATTTGTACAATAATTAGCCAGAAGTGGCTGCGAATGAGGGAGGTAGCGATTAACAGATAGGGAATAATTCATGAATGGCAAATCGTACAATAGTAGTTCATAGGTCAACATAAAGCTCATAATAAGAGGGGTATAAATATGAACAATTTAGTTGCATAACAACTATACGATAAAAATATACTCATAATATTGGTCCATAAATGGATCCCAAAAATTACCATTCATTATTCTTATCGGGACACAACATGTATGTTCTCTATCGTTCCGTTTTTTTTTTGTTTATTATTACAGACATAATCAACATTCTATGGGTTTGTTGACATTATTAAGAAAGAAAAAAATTAATAAAAATCAGTCTTTATTATTTGTCGCATTCTTAATTCCACATGGATACGATACTTGCTGTGATAATATTTACATAGCTAGTAGTTATAAATTATCACTGAGTGGTAGGATATATACAGAAATATGTGAATTAATAGCATGAGCAGTATTTTCATATTAATTTTTTTTATTATTATCAGCTTTATTCAATATTATATTTTTTATACAATATAGAATTCTCAGCGTAAAGCATTTCAACAAGTTTCCGTTTCTTTCTTCTTAGTCGGTCCTGGTGATAAATACTGAGTGATCGCCAGTTAGATGTTAGCAGTTCACTAAATGAACATCTGAATAATGTGCATTCTTTCCGTTGTATATTGCCAGCAACCACATTGTCTCTTATTGAGTTTTTTGTAGCTTTGACAACGAAAGGTTGTACACTTTTCAGAAACGCAGCAGAATAGGTTATGCGATTAATAAACATGGTGATATATTAAAAAAAACAAAAATAGATAACTTGTTGAAATACCTAGATGGCAGGAACAGGTAGCCCAGATGATCAAGCAGGCTGTTTTCATATTTATGTCTCTGTATGCCATTTACTTTAGTCATATACATCTTTTTCTAATTAGTTTATTATAACTGAATTATAGTTTTTATTTGAACATTTGATAGTTATACCATGTTTGATGCTTGAAGAAATATTATTCAACGTACCGGATTTTTTTATTATTAAATAAGTTCAGGACAAAAGTCAAAGAGCGTAGAGCAGTTTGCTTGAAACTTCAAGACATTTTAAACTTATAATCTCATAAAGAAATTTCACAGATTGAAATCATGAGTCAATTGAAGCTAGACCACCATGGAAAACCTGGAAGCATTGGACGGACGTTTCGTCCCAGTATAGGACTCCTCAGCAGTGCGCATCCACGATCCCACCCCGCGAGGTTCTAACCCAGGACCTATCAGTCTTGCGCGCGAGCGCCTAACCACTAGACCACCGAGCCGGCATCCAATGGTGTTAATGTCTAACTTCAACCAACCCCGAGGTTGCGCTACCGTATACCATTGTCTTTAGTGAGCTGATATCTCACAACAGAATGATAGGTCCTGAGTTAGAATCACGCACGGTGCGGGATCATGGTGAGCACTGCTGAGGAGTCCCATATTAGGACGAAACGGCCGTCCAATGCTTACAGGTTTTCCATGGTGGTCTAGCTTCAATTGACTCGTAATTTCAATCTGTGAAATTTCTAAAATCTCCACAAACCTCTTCTGATAATCTCATAAAGAATCAAAGTTTCAAAGTTTCAAATGAAGTTCATGCACCTTTTGAAAGTGTATAGAATGATATTATTTACTTAGTAATTAGAAATCTATCTTCATATTCAATAGAATTTGTTGACCATTTCAAGTTGTTTTTGTCCTCTTACCCGCATAAGGGTTGTGTAGACTCACGTTTATTAATTCGTTGAATATTGATTGATGTAATGTTCATTTAAACAAAGTATTTCATCGACGTAAATACAATTGTACATTTATGGAAAAATGTGAATGTCATTCGAAACTATTAAATGAGTTATTGTCCATAGATGACTCTAACTAAATGAATGAACAAAATTATTGCACTCACATGAATGAAAAATCGATATGTTAATCTATATCATTTAAACCTTGCTTGTTTTATATTAACCCTGTTAGCAATTTGTTATTAGGTGAGCATGAAGTGAAATATGTGTATATGTATCTGAAAAAGCGGGAAACGAAATAAAATATCATTAGAAGACTCAACAATAACAAACTAGTCAATGATGTATAAATCCTATTTCAAAATAATTCAATAGTCAAAACTAAATATTAGACTAGTTAAGTTCCAGTTATGTTACAAATAGACAGCTATTAAATCTAACCAAATTGATAATGCTCAAGCAATTAATTATCTGTGTTAATATATGTTAACATTAATATATATATTAATCCATGTGTATACATGTATGTACGTTAGTTTGTATGAATAAGTGTTTGTATGGATATTTATTTATGTAAATATGGGTGTAAGTATGACTCTATATACTGTAATCAGACTCATTCACTATGCTTAATTTCCCTCATCATTGTTTTAAAAAGTTAGTTAATAAATTAATTATGAATCATATTATTATCTCTCTTCAATAAGATTTGGGATGAGGAACAAGTACCAAAAGACTGGAAAGAAGGACTCCTGATCAAAATACCGAAGAAAGGCGATCTCAGCAACTGTGATAACTACAAGGGCATCTACCTTCTCTCAATACCGGGAAAAGTCTTCAACAGGGTATTGTTAAACAGGATGAAGGACTGCGCAGACGCCCAACTTCGTGACCAACAGGCAGGATTCCGTAAGGATAGATCGTGTGCAGACCAAATCGCAACTCTACGGATCACTGTGGAACAATCAACTGAATGGAATTCATCACTCTACATCAACTTCATTGACTACGAAAGGCATTTGATAGCGTGGACAGAACAACACTATGGAAACTTCTTCGACACTACGGCGTGCCTCAGAAGATAGTCAATATCATACGGAATTCCTATGATGGATTACACTGCAAAATCGTGCATGGAGGACAGTTGACAAAGTCGTTCGAAGTGAAGACCGGTGTTGGGCAAGGTTGCTTACTCTCACCCTTTCTCTTTCTCCTGGTGATCGACTGGATCATGAAGATGTCAACGTCTGAAGGGAAGCATGGGATTCAATGGACATCTAGGATGCAGCTGGATGATCTAAACTTCGCAGATGATCTGTCCCTTCTATCCCAAACGCAACAACAAATGCAGGAGAAGACGAACAGTGTGGCAGCAGCCTCACCAGCAGTAGGTCTCAATATACACAAAGGGAAAAGCAGGATTCTCCGATACAACACAACACGCAACAATTCAATCACAATTGATGGAGAAGATTTGGAAGAATTAAAAACCTTTACATAACTGGGCAGCATCATTGATGAACATGGTGGGTCTGATGCAGATGTGAAGGCGTGGATCGGTAAAGCAAAAGCAGCATATTTACAACTGAAGGACATCTGGAACTCAAAACAACTATCAACCAACACCAACGTCAGGATTTTCAATACAAATGTCAAGACAGTTCTACTGTCTACTGGGGCGGAGACCTGGAGAACTACGAAAGCCATCATCCAGAAAATACAAGTGTTTATTAACAGTTGTCTACGCAAAATACTTTAGATCCATTGGCCGGACACTATTAGCAACAACGTACTGTGGGAGAGAACAAACCAGATCTCAGTGGAGGAAGAAATCAGGAAGAAGCGTCGGAAATGGATAGGACACACATTGAGGAAAGCACTCAACTGCGTCACAAGACAAGCCCTCACATGGAATCCTGAAGGCCAAAGGTAAAGAGGAAGACCAAAGAACACATTAATCCGGGAAATGGAGATAGACATGAGAAAAATGAACAAGAATTGGATGGAACTGGAAAAGAAGGCCCAGGACAGAGTTGGTTGTAGAATGCTGATCGGCGGCCTATGCTCCATTGGGAGTAACAGGCGTAAGTAATGAAAACTATAATTAAAAGGTCGTCTGTTTATTTGATACCTAGACACATTTCTTATAACTGCTTGAACTTAATCTGATTGTATTATCAGCAAAAACGTAACATAGGAAATGTTAGATACGAAGTCAAGTTGACAACAATATATTTTAGATAAGCAAGCTTAAGCCAGGAAACACGTGAAGTCCATAGTATTATAGCCAACACATTAAAAATGTATATAGGATAACAGGTCACGATTGATTATATGTGAATATATAAAATGAGAGCAGTAAAGTTACGATTGCAAATTCAATAGACACGTAGGTGTTTCATTATGTAACAATTTTCAAAATAGTTTATATCAATCTACTATATCAATTCATGATATGATCGTAAATTTGTTATATTCCAAATGTACACGACTTCTCTACAGTGTTCACTATTTCATCGTTCATGTACACTCTTATCCGTCTACCTTAACTTCAGAGAGTGATTTCTTTACAAAAATTCAAACCTTTTTTCTCAATATACAACTTTATTTTTCTATACTGAATAAATTTTATACATCAGTATTTGGTTGTGGAGATTATTACGTATTTGATTGAAATCTTAAACTGATTAATGTTAGACCATCATTATAAAGCTGGAAGCATTAGACGATAGTTTCGTCCTATTATAGAACTCCTCAACATTCGGCATTCACTATCCAAGATTCAAACAAAATTCTTATATTCATGATACATCAAAGAATAGAATTTATAAGCGAAATTTAAATTCAATAAAATTTGGATATTATTCATCGAATACAAATGATTAACATTAATTAAAGGTAAATAATTGATGAAAGCAAATTACTCAAGCTTCTAATGAAAAGATTAAGTTTCGTTTTATTTTTCTGACAAACTAAATTCATTTAAACAATGATAATTGAACTTTAAATTATTCTACAACTAATCTGTTTTACAAAAGATTACGAATCATTTAATGATAGTGTTAATTAGAATTGAATTAATTCTCTTATTTTCCTATTTTCAGTTCAAAATATCTTATAAAGTTTATATATGGCCATTAATGAATATTTTATAGGATTTTTGGGCAATGTTTTTATTTTTGCAATGGTTATGATCATGAGTCAATTGAAGTTAGAACACCATGGAAAACCTGAAAGCACTGGACGGCCGTTTCGTCTTATTTCAGGACTCCTGAGCAGTGCAGATACACGACATCGCCCCCGGCGAGATTAGAACCCAGGACCTATCAGTCTCACGTGCGAGCGTCTAACCACTAGACCACTGAGCCGGCCGGCATTCAACGGTGTTAATGTCTAACTTAAACTAATCCACGAAATTGAGCGACACGTCCACCATTGTCATCAGTGAGTTATTATCTCACAACAGACCCGGCTGAACTTCATAGGTCACTGCTTCTCACTAGAACTCCAGGATATATCTCTTGAAGCCAGTCACTAGTGAGCATATGCTGATTAATATGAGATGTGTTTTGTGGATTTTTATTTTTATCTCTTTTTTGTTTGATTGCTTAAACCATTTTACAGTTTTAAGAAAAATATCTGATATTTTGAAATTTACTTACTTTTAAATAAATCATGTCATTTTCTTCTAAAC